ACTCATTCATAATTACAAAGATATTAAGTGACTGCATGGAATTTGTGTGACCCACATTGTGATGTTATTAAATCAGAGCTTACACTGTAAAAAATACGGTGTATTATGCACACCAAATTCATATCACACTACAGGTGTGTTTTCACACCCCACAAAAAAGTGTGTCATGCACACAATATCAGGTGTGTATGCACAACAATACAGGTTAACAACAAAATTATCAAAATTCTTCTGTAATGTAATATTTCAGTGGAATTAATTGTTTATTGTTAATACTATAAATACACAAAGGATGATGATCAGCTAATTCATGAACTTCATAGGTGTGATTATACAGGTGGAGAAGTAATTGAAACCTCAAAAGAATGAAAATGTGGCACGAAACAGTGGGTAATGTATTCTTGGAGAACAAAGTAACAGATATCCACTTGGAACACAATAATGTCAACAATGACTCCAAACACTGGCAGATTATTTCTTGTTACCACAATAGCACCTGGTTTATAAAGAACGCTTCCGGTCTGAGCCCAGCTTACACTATACATAATACATAATTACATATGCATATGTAGATAAAAAAGTGTAATCACAATAATATACTTACATGTTAATTTCCTCTTGTGCACTAATCCCTCTTCTTAACAGTATATCACTATGTGTGCAACTCTCAACTATAACTGTTTGCCTACGTAATGCCAAGAATAAAATAATTTTTGATAATTATGCAAATGCACATAATAGCTGCATGGTGAAAGAAATTTTGCTGAAGTTTTAGACGAATATTTATTCTTTTTGTAGAAAACAGTACATTCTTTGATTATACAAACATGCAAGTACAATACACAATCAGCACTAACTTAGTTCTCCCAAATGTCCATTCTCTGAAAACATAATAGTCACAAATCGAGTAGTAGCACATTAAATTTTGATGATGTTCTGCCAAAGTTTTTTCAATATTTTTAAAGCATTTTATTCTGTGAGCAAGTGATTTGAAGTAACTGTGCTTGGCTTCAAAACGCATGCACAAATACCGACTTGCTGGTCCAAAACTAAAATAAAATTTTTAAAATATAGCTGTACTTACAATGTACAATAACTATGCATATAATTCTATCTACATGTATAACACCATTTGCAATTAGCCATGAATACATGTATAAGACACAGTAAAAAATTGAGTTATTAATGTATCATATTTTATCTTACTTCAGTAACCACTCCGGAAGGTGTATTATATAATGAATTTTAGGAATTATAGAAGCATTAGGGTAAAGCTGACAGAAATTTTCGTGATGTTCTCTTATTAAGTCTTTTAAATAAGGAACAACATCCTCTGATGTGACTGGTCCAAACACATATTCAACAATTGTTAGCAAAAGCAAGAAGTTTTCCCAGTGAGGTTCACCTACAGGTATGAACTCTCCAACTAATAAAGGCAACAATCTGGCCAAGCACCACATTTGTGTTGCTATAATAGAATGAGGTATAACACTGAATCATGCATCATAATCAACATACCTGATTGCTTTAGACTATGATCATGAGAAGTAAGAGTAATGATTGAAGGTTTATTTGAACTATCACAATATCCATAAGGAAAACTTTCAATTTGTTGATTCAAAAATGAGAGTGAAATAAGTCGTCTTTCTTGTGTTACATATATCAGCAATTCTTTAGTCTCATATTGTAAAGCACCTTCCAATATATCATGCATAATGTCAGGTGCAAGACCTTCAGTCACATGAAAGAATTGCGATTGATTGAGGATTGAGTCTCTGACAATGCCATACGTCGTAGCAATGTGGTCATGCAATGGTCCAGCGAGGTGGGTAACATGATTTGCATGTGTGATACGTGTCCGTGGCTGAAATTCCTCTGAAAGGAACTAGAGTATGCATACATACCAACTTTAAAGAAAAAAAATGCTTACTTTAGATGACATATCCTCAGCAATGGCCATGCAAAATCTACATTTACGTAAAGCTGATGCCAAAGCTTTATAACCACCAAGTGACCAACTAGCAAGATTATCAGCACAAACAATTGTAATTGTTCCACGAAAATTATGCTGCTGTCCATTAATATTAAGATCAACCCCTTCTGCCTGTTTGAACAAAAAACCATTGTGATACAATTCATGCAGTTATTAATTACTTTTTCAAACTTTTTGATACTTTCCATAAAAGGTTGAAGTATTTTGTCAATCCCATACTCATGAATTAATGAATGGCGTACAATTGTAACAAGCTGTATAACTTTAAGTGATGATCTCCATTTTGGTGGTATGTTTCCCAAAATATAATAAAAAACTCCTTTAAATTGAAAGCATTGAAATTATTAAATAACTAAAACAAATAAACTTACCAATTTTGTGTTTCTTTGCTCGAGAACCAATTGGGTTACAGATTTCGAGATCATCATAATAGAGCATCACTTGTAAAGCTGTTGGATTGACAGAAAAAAGTAGGTGATTTTTGAAAATGCTACCATCACAGTAATCTTCAAAAAGGTTGTCATTTTGGCAATGACCACTCATAACCTGTACAATAAACAATCACTTAGTAGCTGAGAAATGTATGTATATACTTGATCAAATATACTTGAATTTGACAGTAACTGTTGTAATGACTTTTCTAAAGGTATGTCATAAGCATATTCACTGCATAGTTTGAAACGCTTGCCCCTTCTCTTTAAAGTTTGTCCCAATTCCCTTTGTACTGGTTCCTGTTTCAGAAAAAAAACATTACTTAGCTATGCGGTATCATTAGTAATAACTTACGACTAGACCAAGTGAAGTATATGCCTTCTTCTGCATATAAGAAGATTCCAAACATCTAAATGGAGCTCTCAGCTCTTCATCCATAAAAAGTTGTAACAATTCTTCAGTAGGCAATCCCTTTTGATGTAAAGTATTTATGACTTTTGATTGCAATAAATCTACTGTTTGCTGTACTATGATTGAGACATCACCAAGAAGATCGTTTAAAGCTAGCTGTGATATTTGCCTAACTTCCTTACATTTTAACGTAAACAATATTGCACTTTTCTGTTTCATTGATACCAGACCCTCTGTACCGCACACATTGATTCTGTTTCTTCTTCCTGAGTAGCTCCATCATTAAATATCTCAGTGTCAGAAACAGTGGCAGTATAATCAACATCATTAACTAGATCTTCATTGTCATTACTTTACAAATTTTCTTCTAGAGCTAGAGAAAAATGGTAGTGCTTACGTCGAATGTGTTTTTGAAAAGAATGGTAATTGGAGTATGTCCTTGAACATCCACTAATACCACACCTTACAAGAAATCCTGGTTCATGAGAGTGTATAGAACCAATGTGTCGTAATACTGCACTTATATTTGAGGATGTATAAGTGAGACAAATGGAACATGTAAATCCTGCAGAAGTGGCCATGTCGTTTGCCACGCCTTTCCAAGTGGCAATTGCCAATAATTAACTGAGCTCTAAATAGAATAATTAGCACCATCACGTGTTGAGCTGTTTGTCACTTGTCAGTGTTAAGTGTTTGTTACCAAGCCAGCTTGTTCTGTGATGGAAGTTTGGCGGTACTACAGGTGCTAATAAGAGTATAATGGTATCTTATAACAACCTAAACAAGATCGTCAAGTTATCACATGATGCTGATATCCAGCTGCTTAAAGAACGGTGCCTTCATCTTTTCAAATTTGGTCCAAACATCAAACTTGATCTAATTTTTCAAAAGTATGATCCAGACCGGGATGCATATGTTGATCTAACTGATGACGACTTCATAAATCACAAGGACAAGCTGAAGATGGTTGTACAGCCTTTATTGAAAGATCAGAGTGTGGCGTCATCTTTATGTGATTTTAATGAAGTTAGTTTTCTTTTATCAAAGTTTAATTTCAATTTACATGTGGGGTTAATGCAGGTGGGTGGGCAAGAGCAGCTGAGCTTATTTAAATATGTGTGCTTAATTAATGAATCAAAATAATTTATTCTATAGAGACAAGACGAATCTGATGTGTCAGTGTCAACTACACCAACAGTACTGGTTGCTTCACCATCTGCAGAAGTCACTTCGCCTTCTTCAGTGGAGTTCACTGCTACTCCCTCTGGAATAGAAATGAAGCGACCTCGTCGTATCCTTGATTCTGATGACGATGAAGAAAATGGAAGTGCTATTAGTGAAAATTCATGTAGTCTAAAGGAAGTAAAGAAGCCTAAAATGGATATACCTGTGGCTGTGTTGCGTAAGGAAAAAGAAAAGCCTCTCCCACATCCTTTTATATTTCCTGTTAACTATCGTCCAGAAGTTGAAATGTGCTTAAAATCAGGAAAAATGACAACAGAGGCACGAAAGCATTTTTTATCTTCTGTAGCATCTTGTATGTTTTCATATAAACAGTATGTTGATTATTTTTAATTTATTATTATTTTAATGCACGTAAGTATTTTTATTTTTAATTATAGATATCCCACTAAGGAAGAATTTATTCAAGTAGCAATGGAAATAATCAGAAAATATCCTTTTATGAAATCACTAACAGGAACACCTTCTGTACATTTCATATTATATTCAAACATTTTTCTTTATACATGTATTGATAGGGGGCCATTGTGCAAACACTAATCGTTTCAAAGAGTTCCGCCGACTTAAAACTGTACGAAAACCTTCATCCAGCCAATCAAGTGGTGGTACTTCATCTAATATTAAGCCTACTGTATTACCATCTCCTACTATACCAGCTGGTGAAGATGAAACATCATTTGAAAGACATAATAATCAAATAAAAGCTGAATTTTCTAGAAAGGAAAAAAGAAATCAGGCTGTTCTTACTGCTTTAATTGCACAAACTTTTCCAATGCGTCGTAAGGATATAACAGAATCTCCTTGTCATTCCTCAGAAATATTGATGAAGTACCCTTTTCTAAAAGGAGATCAGGTATGATATATGTATTAATTATAACAATAATATATGTACATGTAGCTTATGAAGGAAATGGAAATGATTTGTGGAACGGAACAACTGCGAACACTTGTTAGAGAGTCCTGGTGTGGCATCTGGTCTCAAAAAATTATTGACCACGCACAAGTAGAAAAAGCTACTAATGGTCAACTACGAGGTATTATTACAGAAATATGTGGAAACCTGGATGAATGTAGTAAGTAATTTTACAGCAGTTTGTCAGTGCTAATCACATTTCTTGTTATAGATAATGCCATAGTATCACTTTGCTTGTTGGTTTACTTGTTGCCAGATTCACAATCCAAGCCATGTCATGAGAAAATGGTCCTCTTCTGCCCGGTATGTCATAAAGTATAACCTAAAAGTCTTATTTACATTATTAGTTATAGGAATCATGTCATCCTTCTGAGGTTATTAGAGATCATAATCAAAAGGAGCCACATCTTGTTGTTGGAACTTTTCAAGCTCGTACACAGATATATGTAGTTGTTGATCAAAGCATTCTTTGTGAGGTTGAAATTAGAGACTCTCTTTGCCTTGTTGTCAGTGTTTTTCGTTTTTTGATATTTGCTATTCTAAGGGTCTTAATGTGTTTACTTTCTTTGAAATTGTTTTGTTGAATATTAATCATGCTAAGGTACCAGTGTCTGTTAGCAATTTCATTTCTTGTATTAAAAACAACTAATTTTTTGTCAATTTAAACATGTATTATTATTGAATAAGAATTGTCAAATTGTGTCAATGGGTTAATTATCGAGGTGGTTTGCACTCTCATCTTGGTGTGATTTTACACTTCATAGTGTGTGAAAAGCCCACTGGTGTGTTTATCACACCAAATCGGGGTGTGCCAGCAGGGACAAACTTAACACACCTCAAATGGTGTGTAAGTCACACTTTATTTTTTACAGTGTAGTCAAGCCTAATAGCATGACTTGTTGCATTAATCATTAATTGTGACGTGGTCTAAAAATATCAACCTTAACAAAAAATTTTAAAAATTATATCATCATATCAAAAAATTGCTTTTACAAGTCTCTATCGATTGGTGCTTCTTGCGCGTCAATGCAGCTTACCTATCTCGAGTGATTAGCCTTCATATATCGTTCTTCCAAGCAAGAAGTGGAGAAATTGCTGTATAACCAA